AAAAAATAATAAGCCGGATCCAACTCGAAGATTAAGGAACAACGCAATCATCAACATTAACTGAAAGAGATAATTAGATAATTTTGGCTTATACCGTCCGTTATACATAAAATGCGCACATGAAAACGTATTCTGCGCTTGCGCACACACATATGCTCAGTCGTAAAGGTCTTACGTGCACGCGTAAACGCCTATGCGCAGAAAGTTTTTAGCTTTGAGGTCCGGATTATGGGTGTCCGAATTAACGACTTTTGACTGTATATGTAATAGATTCTGTAGTCGAATACAAGCAGCTGAATCCGTAATGAACAGCAAGAATTTTGATGGCTTAGAGATGTTGAAACTCCAATCCACAGTGAATAAGAAATTTGGCAGTCGAGGTAGATTTAATTCAACTTTTCTTTCAGCAAATATGTTGCAGCCACAAACAAGTTGGCACATTATTTTATGCCTATTCCAAAAATTAACATTTTTGATAATGTGTAGTAAGAAACAAGGAGCAGACAGACTGCAATCCAGCTAGGCCAAAGCGTTAAAAAGCAAATGCGTTATGTTAAGGGTGAAATCTTAATTCAGACCGAGTTAATTTTGGTTCTCGATGCTTTTACTCGTATTTGATAGTTAATACTGCTGTAAAATTACTATTGGCTGTTTGAGTTTTGTTTTCTTTTACAACATCAAATTATGTAGAGTCATATGACATGAATTAATCTCGAAATGATGCAGTGCAGAAAGATTACTGTTTTAAGAATAGAGAAGGAAAATTAATTTTACGCTGCTAATTTAATCTTTTGCATATTCCTTATTTTTCTTACATATATATATGTACATATATCATTCGATGGTTGTGAATCATGACTTTGGTTATTATCTTTCTATTCATTTTATTTTCAGAATTATATAAAGGTAGTTTAAAATTTTGTTAAAGAGAATTTATACAAATATTTTGTAATATGTTTATACTAATATACTGACGTGCATTTAGAAGGATAGGAGCTTCGTAGGCTTTATAGATATTTTTAAAATTTTTGAAGTTTATTTGCATTGAAGTTTTATTTGAAATTACTTTACATGCTTTCTTCCGCCAATTTAGTTCTGTATATTTCATCAGTGCTAATTATGTATTACTGCTGGTTTATGTTTTTAATTGCTAGTTTTTATGGAAATTTGATTTACAGTTCTATTTTTGGTATTGTTTTTTATAGGGTTCTGTATATGGATACCCGTTCTAGGTACGATTCTATGTATGGATACTCCACTATGGTATAATGCTATTGGTTCGGTTTATATGGTTTTTGTTTACTGTTTTGTGCAGCAATTTTTCCAAGAGGTACCTTTATTGGTCCGTGGATTTTTTGTGTAGTGGTTTTACAGGATTTGGCGTATGGGGGCCTGTATAGGTGTACATGCTTTTGTTTACTGGTTTTTACAAGGCATAGACCTACGGAATATCCATTTTTTTAATGGAAATTTGGCCAATGGATATGCATATAAAGTTCTGATTTTTGGCTATGGGTTTTTACTGGGATTTTGTTTATAGTGCCTACAGTTCTACAGGTTTCTATAGAGATTTGGCCTACTCGTATCCGTACAGTCGTACAGGTTTCTGTTTACAGGGAGTCGTACAGCCCTGCAGGTTTCTTTGTATGGGTTTTTATGGGTATTTGGCCTATGGGTACCCGTACAACCGTACGGGTTTCTTTTTATGGGTTTTTACGGGTATTTGGCCTACGGGTTTCTTTCTATGGGTTTTTACGGGGATTTGGCCTACGGGTACCCGTACATTTGTGCGCTTTCTGTCTGTATTTTTTTACAGGGATTTGGCCTATGGGTACCCGCAGAGCTGTACGGGTACCCGTAGGCCAATTCCCCGTAAAAGAATTTTATGGGTTTCTACGGGACATTTTTAGCAGGGACGTCATTTCATTGGTTGACTCTAAACGGCTTATCACTTTTCAAATTGTTGACACCAAATATTATTGCCCCGTGTTATTTTTAAAGAAATCAAATGATGAAGAATCTACATGTGTTTTCTTCGCATTGTGAAAAAACAACAGTACCTAGAGCTATCAAATTTGACTAACGTAAACCTCCTCCAGAACATGTGCACCTTGAAGCCTAAGTTTTGAATTTCCAATTTGTTTTATTATTTATTTCAAATTTTGTAAAACTTTAATGGAATTTTGACTAATGATACTCAACGATTTGAAAGCGAGCAGTGGCAACACTGTTCGAAATCAAAAACTTTTATCTCCAGCCGGCGAGACTGTTGCTGACTCTATGAAAGCAATGTGGTGCCGCTGCCGAAAGTAAAATTCTTTTATCTTCCACGCGCCAGCGTGTTGCCATTCATTAAAGCCTAAGATACTTTCAAATTTAATCTGGAAAGTTACTAAATTTTAAACTAAGTGATTTTAAAGCAATAAACATAGTTCTTAATATTTTGTGTTTTTTAATGTGATTGAAATTAAAAAATATGTATTAAAATCACGAGATGTTTAATTAGAAATATTCAATGCTTTTATGAAATGACACTTGCTGGACTAATTAAAATGATTGCATACTTTTTCTCTTTTATGATAACTATTTAGGCTAGTTTTTAAAGAAATCAAATATTGTATAATAATACAGCGAATATAAATATATGTAAGGCAAACTTTAACACTCTATTGAGAATTCTAATGATATGCTGTTTTTAAATATTTTGCTGTCGAATTAAATTGTATGTGGCATGAGTGATTAATAAATAAACGTAATAGTTAAAAAATTAATAATGCAAAGACAGAAAAAAATTTGTTAGCCATCTGACTAGGAAATTGAATATTGGTTTCATAAACTGAGAAAAGACTGAAAAAATATAAAAATGCATGCCAACACTTAACTCTGCATCAGAAATTCTAAACATATGCCGGTAAGCTTTTAAATTTTTGTGGTTTTTGGTGTTGAATTGTATGTGGCGTAAGTGCAAAGAAAATGATGCTTAATAATAAAGCTAAAAAGAAAATAAAAAAGGGGATTAGCAGGAGTGAGACAAGAGGAGGCTGGGTAAAGTGTAAGCTGGCGAGAGCATAAAAAACCTTAGCAAACCTTTTTAGTTAAAATCTAAAACCTTTCAGATATATTTTTTTTTTTTTTTTTTTTTTTTCTTGAGCGCTGCAAATTTACTGGGGCGCCCACGAAAATATTTTGCGTAGGGGTCCAAGAGTTCTAGTTACGTCACTGGTGACACGAAGAGCTTTTTGACTGTACAGTCTGTTTTAGATCTAGCAGCACTATCCTTAAATGGGAAAACTGCACACTGGGCGCGTTTTCCAGAAGTCCGTGGTTCGATTCCCGGTGATGGCTAAGCTCATTTTTCATCTTTCATGCTTCCGAAAAATCCTAATGACTCTACAACTTCATTAATAACAAATTTTCAATGTTTAGTTTCATGAAAAGTATGAGAGAATTTTGCTTCAAAAAAAGTTTCTATTAGCATTTCAAAGCTTATAAAATATTAAAAATTCACAAAGAAAAAAAAAAAAAAAAAACACTATTTAATTGATAAATGATATAAAATATTTTGTTTAATTCTTCTATTTGAATGCAATTATTTATTAAGCATTACTGTAGTTTTTAGTCCCAAGAATAACTTTGAGTGAATATTTAATATCATTATCCAATTTCTCAAAGATGGGAACATTTCACTGTTTTGAAAAAAACATGAGAATGCTTTTTCAATTCATTTCAGTTAAGTAGAGTAAGTTACAGATAAAAAACTGAAACAAAATTCACATTTTGAACTATGTATTAGGGAAACTGAAATTACTGCATCATTATATTGGGTTATTCGGAAAGCAATATCTTTCTTTCTTTTTTCTTTTCTTTATATGAAAATGAAAGATTTTTCTTATAGTGAATAAATATTTTATTGAATTTTATATTATCCATTCTCGTCCAATACCTTTTGCCATCTTCCTGGAAGTAGCATGATTCCACACTCATAATTTTTTTTTCTTTGATTGCAAAAAATTGATCTAGGTGATTTTTGACCTCCTCATTTGAAGTAAAGGTTTTACCGTCTAAAACATTTTATAGAGACCGGAACAAACGATAATCAGAAGATGGTGTATCTGGAGATCACCAGCTTTAACTGGCTTTTTAAGACCTTCAAGATCAAAGTTGTAAGATAAAAAATTTGCAAACCAGTTTCGGCACTGGCGTTCTGTCAGTACATCTTCCAAAGAACGTCTATATATTCTTTGCATCTTCTCCATACACATCGGATAATTTTTTTCTTGCTTGAACAGAATTTTTACCTTTTCGATAGTAAAAAGGTAAAATATGTTAAAAATGCTCCGTTTCACTTTCCGTATTTGAAAGGGCACCAACCAAAAACTATTGCGTAGAATCAATCGAACGTTTTCATAAGCAAGCCTTGCTATATCAGCTGTCAAAATATATAATGATTATGGGCTTAAGTGTGAAGTTTCTATGAAAAAGTACACTTAAGCCCTGTGTTCAGAAAAATTAAATTACTTTCCAAACAACAGAATAGCAAGTGAATTCCTTTCCACGTAAATTTAAATGCTATCAGCAGCAATTATGATAACAATATTTATACTAAAATAAAGGATATTAGCTCTATGCAAATTTACAAATTATTTATGCCTGAAGTTTTTAGAAAAACACCTAAAAAATCTGAATTTGCGATAAATGAAATAATAGTTACATTTCATGCTAATGATTAGATGCAGAAAGACATTGAGATTTTTACATTTAGAAAAATATACATAAGAAATAACAAACATATAAATAAAAGTAGTGAATTTCGCTTTTTATAAAATATATGAATGAGTTTTGCAGAATTAAAAATTTAATGTCTTATAAATAGAATACACTGTTACTTCGACCTACATATAGATTTCATTTCAACGCATTTAGAATAAATTTTCATATTATCGGAGTACTATAAATCAGCCTTCATAATGCAAATAATGTATTTATATTAGTAAAACTGATATAAAACTATCTCTATAATGATTTATTTGCAAATTATTTATGCTTATGTATGCAAGAAATAAAATAGCAGTATATATTTGCATATCAATGCAGCTGCAGCAGGACATTAAGATTTTTGCACTTAGATAAACACATAAGAAACAACAAACATATAAACAATAACAGTATATTCTGTGTTTCATGAGAGAGTTAAACAGTTTGTAAAATCAAAAACTTGATGTCTTACACATATAAATAAAATGTTATAACGGCCTATTTATATTTAGAATTAATTTGTTTTCAGAAATACTAGATAACAATATTCATAATGCTAGTTATACAATAATAAAATAATTGAAGTTTAAGTTATAAAAGTACATGAGAAAAATGTTTGCTATGGTAGTTTGGTAAATTCCATCAAAATTATATCAGTACTTCAATTTTTTATTGTTCATTAGGGATTATGAATTGTTATATTAGTTACAGTTATTTACATTCTGATGAGGAAAATGGAAAGGAGAATATAGAAATGCTAAGGAAAATGGAAAGGAGAATAAAGAAATGGTAAGGAAAATGGACAGGAGAAATAAGGAAATGGATATATCCATATAAAACTATTAGAATTTCTTACTTATCAGTCTCTCCTGATTCTTAAATAAGTAAATTTAAAAAATCAGTTCTTTCAGATTAGTGCTCAGTTCGTTCTTAATTTCTGATGTTGGCATTTGGTACAAACGTCACTTTGTTTCTTCTGGAATCAGTATTTAGAGCTTACAATGGAACTTTAAAGTTTTTCATCAAGTGTAAGAAATATAGGAACTTGCATTTTTTTAAGAGAAATCCTGTTAAGTATATATGTCAACTGAAGAATAAAAAATATTATTAAAACAAAAGCATTAGCTCATACATTATGGTCATTCTTTATCACACTGCATTAAAACTAATAATACTGATTTCTCTTTTTTGCTATAAGTAGAAATTGTAAAATACAATTAAAATATTTATGTCACCTAAATTTCTAATTAGAAATTAGATTTCTATTAAATCTCGAATTTTGCTTATATAATACAGTAAAACAAATTAAGTTATACAAATTGCCGAAATATTAGATGTTTCGTTAATATTTCTAACACTTTATGTAAGCATAAGCAAAATGCAAAACTTACCAAACAATTACATATTAATTCAAAGCGTCATTTAGGGTTAACACAAATTTATATGTTTTACTAATGTCTTTTCCTTGATATGTGTCTCAGCAAATCACTCTTTGAATACAATAATTTTTAAGAAATGACGCTTTTATAACAAAATTTAGAATATTTTCCAAGCAGTGCTTTTTAATACGGTCTAAGTTATTCACTCTCCATTACAATTTCATACATTTATGCACAAGCAAGAGATCGCTGATTATGTACATTTAAGAAACTATCTTCATATTTTTCAGAGGCTAATTTGTTTAGTACCGTATAGTTATACTATACATTTTAAATTAATATATCTGGATGTAGACAAAGCAGTCCTCATCGGTCCGTGCTCAAGGTGAAATGATACTTTCCATGCAATTCCAAAGGTTTTTTTTAAAGTAAGGCTTTCGGAACAATATTTACGTTTCACAGTCTTTAGAAACTTCTACACACAATAAGTTACATAAGTTATGGGTAGCAGAACATTAAGTGTTACTTGTAATGTACGGAAGGCACTATTAAATTGCTTTCCAGTATGAATGAAGTCAATATTATTTTTATCAAAACACTTAATTTTCGTTTTTCCAAACTTTCTTTCCAAACAAGATTTTTGCCAGATTTCTCATCATGTATTTCCGAAAATCTTTCGATGTCGCATGCAGCAGAATGAAGCTCACAAACCTAATTAAACAAAAGAGGTAATTAGAGTCCTCATAAAAACTCCTTTTAAGGAACAAAAATTCATTATTATTGCCTAGTTATACTGCAGAAAATGTTAGCTTAGCTGAATATCAAGAATTTTTATTATTCAGTATGTTAAAAAAATTTCCTTTTACAAGAAGAATACAAAATACGTTTAATTAAAAAGTTGAATGGTTTTCAAAGATTCTTTGGTACCCTGAATTAGGAGCTTAATCAATATACAGTTCTAAAATATATATGATTGTTGTTTAGGAATACATTTAATGAAATTTTTCTTGTTTTTATATTTATTAAATTATAAATACAATTTTGAATCGTAAGACCTAACCTTCTTTGCTACCATACAAGTTCTCTATATCTCACAGTGCCACATGGGGACTACTCTCACAGACGTGAAAAGGAATACAGCAGGGAAAGGGTGTAAATAGCCCTTTTATTTATCGCAACTCTTTAACAGAAAAGTACGGACTTCGTGCTCACAAAAACACCGACTACTTGCAGTGAGAACTTCAGGTAAATTTAACAATAAACTCGAAAGTTAGGAATTAGTGCTAGACTTCATAATTTAATTTAACCTAACAGGCTGACTCAGCAACATACACCGGCGATAGACTAAGTAAACGGCCAGAATGTGCAGCCGTTAATAAGTTAAGAGCTGGAGGACAAAAATAGCAAACGTGCGCTATACTAGCGAAATCACGTCCTGTCTTAAACTCTCTGTAGAACGTTGTTTGAGACACCAGGTTGCCTGAGCCAAGGCTCTACCCCTTGTAGAACAGTTTGATAATTTCGAAAGGTGGTATAGAATAACCGAAAGATTAGTCGAATATTTTTTTTTTTACTAGGTAAGGTTTTTTTTTTACTAGATAGGAATACTTGTTAACGTGTTAATAACAATGAAGTTGCTGTCTAAATTAGTGCGAGCAGAAATTATTGCGAGGTGACTGTGACAAAAATGAGGTAGTGCAAACATAAGCAAATTGAATCACAGGCCTATGGCTCATGAATCAATTAAGAATTATCAAATGCAAAACATCAAATACGAAGACATGAATAGAAGGGAAACACGCCAATGTGACAATTAAAATCGCAATAACAACCTTGTCTTTGGCGTACATATATTACAACACTCAATCGATTTCGAAGGCAGCTAAAGGTCCCTCCTCATCTGGAGAACTAAATTACTCGAACGAGGCTCAGACTAGGTGCGTGAAGGTGCAGCTGCCCCTCGCTCCCTAGTTTTTGACTTCGCTGTTTTTTTTTCTTGCGTTTTAGTCTACTTATATGTTTGATCAGATAGCCTGGCTCAGTAAAAGTAGGCGGCTAGTGTAACTCTGATTCATAAATCCGGTTACAACCACTTACAGTGCTGATAACGAGCACGCGTTTCTGACACTCCTTTTGCCAATGTTTTATTTTCTTCTTTTTTGCCCCTTCTAGTAATTTAGTTCTCCTGATGAGGAGGGACATTTAGCTGCCCTCGAAATTGATTGAGTGTTGTAATATATGTACGCCAAAGACAAGGCTGTTATTGCGATTTTAACGAAGACATGAAGTTAGAATAATTATATACATATACCTATAACATACACAAAAGTGAGAATGCAGACAGAAAATTCGAAGTGTAGCAGATAAGAGGAATGAAAATAAATAAATAAATAAATTATGTCACATATCAAATTATTAGAGTTGCATATTACATGATCAATACATTTAGTTGAGCCATAGGCCTATCCATATTTTCCAAACTGTTACAGTCGTAATCACAGATTTTAATACTGGGATTATCAATATTTTGCTGCCTTTCATGAAATTTGTTGGCTGCTAAGTTATAATAATAACTCAATGACTAACTCTTCATTTAATCTATTATTCTTTACATACCATTCAGCATTTACAATTTGCGTAGAACAGTATTTTGGCAGACTTGCAATCTTTTCCTATTAGTTTTCTTGGTATATGCCCAAACTGGATTTGCATAACACAAAAGTGGACGTAGAATGGACTTGTAAGTGAGTAAAACTTGTTGTCAATAGATAATATACTGTTTCGAGCAATAAGGGGTATAGTTTGGCTTCACGAACTCGAAACTTCTGGATAATAGATGTAATTTGCAGGGACCATGTAAGTGACTTATTGAGGATCAATCCAAGATATGGGACTTGCTTGCACCAGGGAATATCAGTGCCATAGAACTTCAGGTTTTCCTTGAAGTTAGTCTTCTTCGCAAACATAATAGCTGTTGTTTTTTTCCACGTTGACGAGGATCTTCCACTTGGAGAGCCAAGTCTCTAATGTGTGTATGTAATTTTGTAGTCGTTGTATAACTGGACCTGGAAATGCACTTTGTGTGAGGACCGCTGTGTCGTCTGCATACATAGCTAATGCTGTGTCGTGTGTGGAAAGTATGTCTTTCACGTAAATATTAAAAAATGTAGGTTCGAGCAAAGATCCTTGCGAGACGACAGCCATGATGATATGGCTTGTTGAATTTGTGCCAGAGACGTGAACAACAAAGTGTCTACCTGTTAGGTAGGCATTAATAATGTTTATGATGTAACCCGGGAATCCCAGGATGTGTAATTTGTAAGTGAGGCCATCTAGCCAAACGCGATCAAAAGCCTTGGCAATGTCGAGTAACAAACCACCAGTCACTTTCCAGTTAGACATTCCCTCTGCAATAGTTTCTACTACTCGGTAGAGTTGGTTGGTTGTGGAGAGATGTCGTCTGAACCCGAATTGATGCGGAATAATAACATTGTTGGAGTCCGGAAATTCGTTGATTCTTTTGAGTATAATAGCTTCACATATTTTGCTTACTGAAGATAATAGGTTTATTGGTCTATATGATCCAGGTTCTGACGCAGGTTTACCAGGCTTGAGGATAGGTTTAATCTTAGCTGTTTTCCATTGCCGAGGAAAGTATTGCCAGATGAGGATAATATTGCAGATTTTAGTTAGCATGAAGATGGTCTTGACAAGGAATTTCTTGATCATACTATTTGTGATGGCATCAATACCGGGGCTTTTCCTTTTCTTGAGTCTTTTGACGGTGGCATAGACATCTCACGGTAAGGCTGAAATGATGTTGTCTGTGCATTGATTTATTGAGAATGTGGAGTGACACTGATGAACAAGGTTTTCTGTTGTAGTATCATGAATGTTGTTTGTGCGAAACTGAGTTTGCAGATGTTGAGCTAAGAGTTCTGCTTTCTCAATTTCTGTGTAATGAGTCCTTTGAGGGACGGAATTTTATTGTAGCATTTCGTGTACTTTTTAATGGTTTTCCGAAGTGAGTTATCTGTAGTGGGTGCATTGAGGTATCTGGTCCAGCTATGTTGCGCCTGGGTGTCTAATAAAGCCTTGACATCATTTGAGAGACGATTGAACGCTTGTTTATCTTCCTGGTTACGGGTACGTAGAAGTTGTCTCCTTGCTGCTTTCCGCTGGGGGATTAGCTGCTTTAGCTCTTTGTTTCGGAAGATATGTCTTTTGGGAACCTCCTTCTGTGTCCTGGTATGGGCTCTAATAATAGATGTTGTGAAAGTGTGAATTAAGCTATTAATATCATCTCTCTTATGTATTGTGGGTATGGTGTACTGAAAGTTGTTGAGAGCTTTGACATACTTTCGCAGTAAGTAGTAAAGGCTCTGGTGTCTGGTGAGGTATAGCTGCGATGGGGTTTTTGGAGCTGCTATTCGTAAATTCGCCGAGTTGGCTAAGTAGAAAATTACGCTTCCTATGTCATTTGAATTGTAGCAGTTCCAAGCACTGTTTCTAGCGTTTAAGTCTCCACCAATAATAACGTGAGTCTCAAGTTAGAGTAGAACCCGTAAGTCCGCGATGACAAAGTGAGGCCTTCGGGCAGGGGAAATGTATGTGGAGACGAAAATGTAAGTAGTGGAATTGCTTGTTGTGAGTGAGATAGCTGAAGCTTCAACGGCTGAAAGCTGTGGAACTTGAACAGGATAGTGAGGGATGGAGCGTTTAACCAGAAGGGCTGTGCCTCCTCCTCCAGTCCATTAGCATTTGACGTATAAATTTGTAAACAACTATATACAGAATTACTCATTTGATTTATTCAATGAACCAAAAATTTCTTCACACATATTAAATGTTACAAACAGTTTATCTATGGCATTGGTAGCTACCTGTAAATCAGGCAGTTTGTCAGTGACTTTACGAATAATACTTCCCTTTAACCATATTGCTGATTTCTTTGAAAAATTTCATTATATCAAAAGACCACCTACACTAAAATCATTTAGAGTTTGTTTACTATTAGCATTTTGCTTATTTACATTATTACATACATTACTATTTACATTATGCATTTCAGATTCCACATTTTTAGTAACATTAGCATAAAAACACCACTAAGAACATTAAATTTGCTTTGCATGTTTACATTTTGGCTTGCAGCCTTACTAACAGCAGACAGTTCATTTTTACCAGATATGGGTTTTTCAATTGCGTTGTTTGCTAGGAATTTCGGACACCCCCTATAATTGGCGGTTTGACCGACTTGCATACAGTTGCAGCACCTAACTGTATAAAGCCTCTTGGCTGAACTCTTATTTGTTCTGTGCGGACCAGCGCACTTTACACACCTCGGCTTAAGTTTGCAGATTTCTGAAGAATGATGGAAGTGCTGGCAGTTGTGACACTGCACAACACTTCCATTAGGTTGATGTGTCTGTATTAAACTATTCGATTCACCCGTTTAAATACTTTCTTCCACCCGCTTAATTTGCATCCTGGCGAGGAAATGTGAGGGGAAATAGAGAATTCAGAAAAGATACCAAAATTAAAATAACTTGTTAGTGAAATAAGGGAAACCCTACATCTTCCCTTACCAAAATTTAGCTATTTCATAACAAGGTTTCAAAAAGCCTGTTATTAAGATATTTTTTAATAACAGGTTTTTTGAACAGGTTTGTCATTAACCTGTTTAATAACAGGTTTGTCATTAAGATATTTAAATTCTAAACCTAACCATGAGTCAACCACGAAATGCCATTGCATTTTCACACATTTCTTCTAAATTCTTCTCGTCTTGGCTCCTTCCAGATACCTGGAAGGAAAATAGTTTAGAATTAGTTGCCACATTTAACACATCCATTGAGCTTGCAAGGTTTTAGACAATTAAAATACATTTTGTTAAGTATCATGGGAGGGGGGGGCATTTACTCATTACTTTCTTTCCAAAATTTTGAAACTCCTCCATGCTGTCCAGCTAGGTGTACTGTTATGAGAGCCTGTGTTCATGTAACAAGTGTACAATACTACCAAATAACCCACATCCTATTTGTTAGAAGCGAGATCTTCTACACCTCAGAAATACACCCTACATTCCATTCTCAGCCTTGAGTTACTATTTCTAGAGAAAACTAACTTAGGGTTGACTGGAGAGCCTAGTCTTAATTTCATTCATTCTTAAACTATTTTTTACTTTTAACATACATGCTGTTATTGGCTTCACTTTTTCATTCATGAACATTTGTTTTCGTTTACAATCATTTTTCCATTAACACAATTCACAAAAACTTTAGATGTACAATTTAGTTATAGAGGAAAGACAACGGAAGTAGCAAGCATTTATTATCGCTCTCCCTCAAAGCCGTGTATATGCCAACGAGTTAGTATACTGGTAGAGAGCGTATTGCAACCTTCAACCGGTTCCAACATTAGTGTCACGTGACTGCTGCGCGAATTCCGAAAGTCCGGAAATACTTTACATTGCTTCTATGGACGAAAGACTGCTGCTCTGCTTGGTCACATAAAATTAAGTAAAAATGGTTATTCGCTGCAGCGCCTACGGATGTAAAGAAGTTTCGTGAAAGGAGGACTTGTAACTTTCATAGGTAAGTTAAAATGCTGATTTATTTTATTTTCAGTACTTTTGTCATTTACTATCTCTGTTTTGAATTGGTTTGGAAAGTTTCAGCCATATTGTATAAGAAAATTGCCGCCGTATATGACATTTTCAGCAGTATTATTAGCATCAAAATGTATAAATACTGTGACACTATTTACGGGAATCACCCTTAAAAATATTGAATTTTATGTTTTTTCCGTGTATTCCGTTGAAGTAGAAAGCTGTGCCAATTGGCGTTTTCCTTTTTTTCGCCAAGTCGACGCGTTTTTGATTTTAAAACAATTGCGCCTGCGATAAAAAAAAGAAAAATGCTATATTAGCATTTTATTATGAGAAAAGATGTGCGATGTTTTACTTTGTTAAAAAAAGCTGAAAGATTTTGATTCATGCAACATGAACATAAAACATTAAACAGCATTATTTTAAAAAGATTTACTTTTTAAAGCTCAAGCTTTATCATTATTTTCTATAAAATCAATAAAACAAAAAATAACCGGATTATAATTCTGTCTCATCTACAATGCTGTTAGAAATTATTGTAATTGAAAAAATGTGATGTGAAAAACTTACCATATTTAAATAGTATTTAAAAAAAAGGAGAGTGAGAGAATTTTAACTGTAAATATCGTTTGATCCTAATAAAAAACTGAGTTGAAGTTTGTTACCGTTTGATACATATCAATATAAAATATTTGTTATAGTTATAAGTATGATCCCGCCATGACAACAAATGAGTGTGGAAAAAGTAAATTAAGATTGCATGATTTGTCCCAGTAATATAATCTCAAGAAAAGCGAGTGAATTATTTTTCCGTAATATAATTAAAGAAAAGAGAGGCAATCAATGGCAAAATACATTATACAATGTGATTTTTTTCTCTTTAGATGCAAGCTTAAAATTAAACGAGATTTTTTTACTTCTCAAATATTATAACAGTAGTACAATTATTTTTTAAGTTATTCAAAATAAAGTTTCCATCTCAATTTTTATTATTTATTTAGATTTTCTTCTAAAATATTTAACCTAAACATCTTAAACAATGGTGCAAATAATTAAAGCGATTATTAAAATATAGATAAAATTCAGGAAAATAGGGTTAAAGTTATATCTAAATAAAATTGTAAAATCGAACAACCTAATTCGAGGCCGTTATCTGCTGAACTGCTAGCAGATGAAATAAAAAAGCACTACCTGCCATATCAAAAAGCGGGCCAAACTGGCGATGAACAGCCTAAGCTATCACTCCCAAGAGCGCAAGAGCATTAGTCCGTGGGTATGTTGGAGACACCCTAGACGAATTCTCTGTGGGTGAAGCCGTCACCTGTTATGAAGTCGTTGGTATAATGCAGATATAGTGTGTGATAATAGTTTAAAATAGTATCATCGCAAAGGCAAGCTCTATCGTACATGTTGGTTTACGATTTTGACGTGTGACGCTTATGAAAATTATTAAGGAATATAAAGTACTCATTTACGTGCATTGTGTAAAGCTAGGAGCTACAACTTCCCTAGAAGCGGCACTGCCCGTTCGATAGGTCCGAGCTACCACGCGTGAACTCTGACCTTTGCAGAGCAGGAGAGCAACCTTCCCCCCCCCCACTGCTAAGGGAACTTACAATGGAGCTGCAATAAGGAGAGATAACAAAAGGAAGTGTGTGTTTATATTCAAAGTCATATCTCCGCTGCTAATTACTTTAGCGCCTCCAATCTAATTTTCCCATAAACAGAATACCGAGTGGTACCAAAGTTTATAAAATTGAAGAAAATCGGACGGTTAGTTCGAAATCTCCAAGTCTAGCTATTTATACAGTTTCATTCGAACTGTTTACACAACGAAGGACACCACCAACTCACAATTCATATTTCACGGAATAGTTAGTTAATTGGTTTCAGTGATTTAAGCAAGTTTTTCAGTGACAAGCAATTATTCTTTAACGTTTCTAATTTTACGTTTACATCTGTGCGTGAAGAGTGTTCTAGTCTGAAATTTGCAAGCCGATCTATGCACACAACTAATTAACTTCGATTAATTTAGTGACTACATCTGTGTGTACAGCGTTATAGAGTGAATTTAGGCAAGGCCATCCCATGTTCCACTACTAGATAATACCCACTCAGTTCGGGTAATTACATTAGTATCTGTGTTTTTAGTGTTAACATGTATGTTTTTAGTGTATAATAACTTAAAAAATGAGTGAATGTTTCAGAATATGTTTTATCTGTGGATTCTTATGAAGAGAAGGAGAACAGATGTACAATATCATAAGATAGGATTTTAAAATTGTTTAATGCATTGGAGCATTTTTGAGTTCTCATCTTGCATGCCACAGTTAACTATCCCACTGCTAAAATCTACAGTGTCAGAATTTACCTAGCAAAATTTGCAATAACTCCGCAACGTACGTTCAGTGGTCTCGTATTATTGCACCTTTAATATTCTACATTACATATTCATTTTAATTCTCAAACCTTGTGCTTATCGGATATTATAATTTTAATTTTTGTATTATTTGAATATTCCTAGTAAATGTTACACCCATCATAATTTAAACATTTTAAATCTCAAATATTGTGCTTATCGGATATTATAATTTTAATTTCTGTAATTTTTGAATATGCCTAGTATATGTAGCACACATCATAACTTAAACATTTGAATTCTCAAACATTGTGCCTATCGGGCATTATAATTTTAATTTCTGTATTATTTGAATATTCCTAGTATATGTTGCACCCATCATAATTCAAACATACTCGTGTTAATAACGTTAACGGAGTGTAAATTGTGTATCTCAGTTCTCCGTAGTTTTCTCTCATTTCCTTGTACATTGTATAATTGAATTAATTGTTTGTTTTGAATTTTTTTTTTTTTTTGTATTGGGTTATCTTATGTGTAGCTGTTTAATAAGTTATTAACGCTGTGCATCCCCCCTATGTTTTGTTAGCTCATACTTATTATGGGATATTTTAATAGTGTTTATTGTGTTGAGTTAAGGCACTTCCAACTGTTTAATTCTAAGATTACCTGCATATGCTTATTCAAAGGAGCTGGCGGTCGAGGCTCTGTACCCTACTGAGAGAAGTCTCTCAGAGCGACGGTGCATATAATTCTGTGCAATTACCATCCTAGCTGAGTTATATCTACTTGTATATACTTGCTGACTTAAACTACTTGTATTGTTTATGCAAGAAATTTCTAGCACTAGAATGAGCTCGCAAACTCCAAAAATCCAAGCAAATCAGATGGTTGCTATTATTAATGGAACGCTTCCCTCCAGCTGAGAACGCGTACCACTAACTATCAATTCCACAGCTTCCAGAATCGAGACCATCAATCATCTTAGCGACCAGTACATTCATTTTTAATGCAAACAGAGACAGCCGCACAAATTCAGCGTGAGCGAGAAAGAAAAAAAAACTGCTTGGTTCATTCCTCTATCCGCAATACTTTTGCAGAACAAGAAGTGTACTGTGCAAGTATGCAGGAAAAAATTCAGCTGCTGCAACAGCAACTTAGCGTGAATGATAATCAATTCTTTAACAGCTCCGGCCTCACCAGAAGACCTTCCAGAACAGACGGAAACAGAAGAAACTCCATTTACAGAAGTCAAAAAGAGAAAGAAAAAAGCACGTACTGCGCTACTTAACAAACAGTTATCAGAGCACGTCCTCCTATTAAAAGCAAAAGAAATAGACAGAACTCCAGAACAAGTCAGATCACTACTGAACTTACTGAACTTAGCGCTACTGACTACTGAACTCAGCGCCAGGGAACACTGTTGAAGAAGTGCGACCCACACGCTCTAACGAACTTTTAATTAGGTGCAGCCACAGACAAAATATAGAAACACTCAGGAAAGCGATTGAGGAAAAGCCCTCACTCTCAGCAGCAGTCACGCTCAGAGAGCCCTCTTTCAGGAAGGCACAATAATCGTCTTTGGTACCCCCACATCCACAACAGCAGACGACATACGTGAGGCTTTTGCGAGCCTGGTTCCCTCAGCTAGTGAAGACAAATGCATCCAAGAAATCCTATTCGCACAACCATCGGCCTCACTTGGATCGTCGACCTGCAGCAGAATCTGTACGAGGATATTAAGGACCTTAGAAGAATTCTTGTGCCCTTGGATTTAGCTCTTGTGCTTTCAGAAAATACTTTAAAGTTGCAAGGTGTTTTAATTGTCAGCAGCTAGGACACTGGGGTCATTCTTGTAAAGAAGCGTTGACCTGCGTAAACTGTGGACATAGCCAGGATAACTGCAAAGCAAAGACTCCACACTGCGTCAATGGCGCCAACTCACAATAAATAAAAGCACTAGCTTCGACCCACACACACCCGTCTAGTGCAAGACAATATCAAGCCTACAAGGCAGAACTGTTCTGAATGAAAACAACGCTGCAGTGGTAGATGAACAGCAGGCTATTGCATATCCAAGAACAGTTCATGGTTTTGCAGTTCTTCAAGGCAACTTGCAACGCAGCCAAGGCGCAACTGTCCATGCAGCATATGTTATTGTAGAAAACAATGTAGA